ACCGCGCGACGACGACGACGGTCCGCAATCCGCGGCGATAATTTGTCGAAATTTACGACTTCGCAATATATCCCGCCTCAGATCCTTGCGCGATGATGCATTCGACGTGATATTTCACGACGTGTCGTGAGAGACGTCGCGTTCCGATTTTCCAAGTCTTTCGTAACGATCGATTTGTTACCAGTAAATGCAAGAAAGAATACTTGCTTTAAACATGTAAAATTCCATCGATTTTTACTCCTGATTATTTTTTTCCGAAAAAAGATGTTTTCTGGTACAGATAAGCTTTTATAATACTATACTGGACTGCTGCGAAAGACCTGTTATAAAATGAAGCGAAATTTCAAGGGAATCGAAACATGTAATTTGCTACAAACTTTGGTATCTTCTTTTTTTTTCATTTAAAGAAAAATTTTTCAATCCCTTTCTACCGAAGAACTTTTTTAATTCCATCTAATACAAAGTTTGACGAAAGAAAAACAAATTATTTGCATCAAGCTGTAATGATAGTAGTGTATTTTTAACATGCGATGTTAAAATACGCGCATTATCATTAGGAATGATGATAAATTGACCAGGTAAAATCTACGTCGCACTATTGAATCCTCGATTTCTCGACGCTTTTCAAGCAATATGCAAAATAATGGTGCGTAATTATACGGAAACGAAGAAGATGCTGGCGCCATACGCCGTCGTGTATCAAACACTTGCTTGCCCGGTTCAGAAGCCGCGCGAACGGTGTTTGCGCGAGAAACGTTTGCGATTCACGGGACGGTCCTCGTATGCACGTGTGCATGCTACAGGTGCAGTCTCGTGACGTCACTCGTCCATTGTTCGCCGTTCCGCGAGCGGCGCGACGGAATCCTATACGTGCGGTGCAATGACTGCGCGCACCGCTTTTACGAGCCTTTCTTCGCCGCGCCGCGCCACGCCGAGCTGTTCTTTTTCGGACGACCGGACGAACGAACGGTCGCCGCTCCTCTCTGCCTCTCTCGGTGCCGGGAGCGAACGTTGCAGAAATGCAACGACGGAACATGCAACGGCGGTTAAGAAGACCGATGCGTAGATCGAATGCGGCAGTGTCATTATACGTCCCTCTCCCCACCTTGAGCATCTCGGGAAACGAGAGTTTCGGAATTTGTTATTGTGCCGAGAGAGCACAGGAATTTTCTGTATTGAGCGTCTTATTTTAAACGCTATTCTCCTACGCATTGGCGTTTACAGAATTCTCGCTGCTCTCACTAATTGATGTCTAACCATAAACTCCCGATATCGCGACCTTGCTTATAGGAAATAATTACCGCGCGCGTTCGACTGCTGCGAGATCTCGTTTCCCCGAGAGAGTCGATGCGCCGGGCAGTTCGGTCTCCCGTAAACAAGTATATGCAATATCGTAACGGGAAACATTCACTGCTTTCGACCGCAAGGAAAGCCCGCGCGGGGTATCCGCGGTATACAAACCGCGACGAGGTGTAAAACTTTTACCGCGGCGCGCGCGCTCCGTGCAACCGTAACGCGTATACCGCGTTTCGGGAGAAAGAAATTCGTCAGAGAGTGCCCACTCGGAGCAAGTCCTGCAGCATCCACACACGGTGGTTCCGGGGCATGGCTCCCGCGTGCTCGGACGCGTCGTAGTGTGTGCGCACTTGTATATAACAGCCGGTTCGACTACATTTCGTGACGGCGCACACCCTCTCTCGCATCTCCGCGCGCGCATATATATATACATGTACGTACACGCACGCACACCAGAGACGCGATAAACGCGTCTCACACGCACGTGCACACAATGCAGAGAAGACGCTCGAGAGGTCCCGAATCTCGCCTCTCTCGAGTGGGCCCGACACGACGGGGCTTTATACGCGCGAGGCCCAACAACCAGACAGAGTCTATATATGCAAAACACATGCGGAAAGCGATTGGCTCCGCCGCGCCGTGCCGGCGGAGACCCGTGGTTCATTCCGAGACTCGTGTAACGAGCTGCGGCGGCCGGCGGTCCAACTCCCGATACGACGTCGGAGACTCTCGAATTCTGCCTCGTCGTACGTTGTTATCGAACGATTAATTCGGGCCCGCACACACTTTGCATGCCGACACCCTTCCTCTCTCTCTCTCTCTCTCTCTCTCTCTCTCTCTCTCTCTCTCTCCTCGGGAGAGGTAGGGGAATAATGGGCCGCGATATAGGAAATTGCGCGAAATGGAGATTAATCGCGGGCCCGTAGTTCGCACGATCTTCGTTCAGTCCGTTGAACATGACGCTTGTTTTCTGCGTCCTGTTTACGCGAATCGTGGAGGAGGAAAGAGGAGAAGGAAGGAGGGGAGTGAGAGATCACGAACTTGTCGCGTCGCGCGTCGCTAGATTACCCTCGGTGACATCACATCGCGATGAGAAAAAGAAAAAATATCGTATTGCTAATCAGTATTTGTGGAAACATAACTTTTAAATGCCACGTTTCTTCGGTTTAAAAGTCATGTTGGTAATATTTGACTTGACGCATGTTTTAAATAATATTAAAAACATGTTTAAGGCAAAACGTATACGTTTTAAATATTCATATTTTATTTGAAAGAAAAAATTTTAGTAAAATTTATATGAAATCAAAATCAAAACGTAATTAAAAAAAAAACTCCAATATTTTTATTCTGCCACTTGCGTGACGTGATTCACGATTGGAGAGATCCACCTATTGTCTTAACTCGTAAATTAGCTAAACCGCGATTACTCTTCATTTACTCCTCGGTTAGGAACTGTAATTCCTTCTCGCATTAATGAGAATACTGCGTGGAGATTGGAGATTCCTACGGGAATCCTTTTGCGGTACGACGAACCACAGGATGTTGAAGCGCAGCCGAGATTCCAGCGCGGATACAACCACCCACGTACGAGCGTGTGTTCGTTCCCGGCATTAGGCTAACGTGATTTGATCTCCGACGATGTACACGCACATGTACACGCGTACGTACCTACGTCCATCCGTCCGTCCGTCCGTCCG